GCCATCTGATACAATGAAGCTGATCAGAGACCAATCTTAGCAAAGCAAAATAGCAAGCAATATATGTAATATTGCTATGTGTGATATATGTTAAGACCAAAAAACACCTTTTTTTTGAGACAAGGAGATACAAACCAGGAAGTCTGAGGAAGTTTGAGTAACAGATGCATTTAAAGACTTGCCAAAAGACTGCACAGTTGGTTTACAATACTCAAGATTTTGCAGTGTTATCACAGCAGCAATTGTTTGCTTTTTTTCATAAGCAAACAATTGCTTTTTTTCACATCATTCACCACAGAAATCAGCATTTACTTTTTCCCCACCAGGAATGTGCTCCTGCATATTGTAGCATGTCTAAACTAGCTATGAATTTTAATAAATTTGAGAATACACAATTATGAATTTTAATATTCAGACAATATTAATATCTCGTTTCGCGGGGCACCACCGAAGTTGTTATTAACCTAGAGTCTCCGGACCTCTAGGTAGCTTTTAATAATTATACAATTATTCACCAGTGATCAGTTAGTTAAAAATCGCTCAATTATCTTAAATCAATAATAATAATAATAATAATCTTTATTTGTAGAGCACTTTTCAAAAACAAGTTACAAAGTGCTTTAACAAGTGTAAAGACAATAATACAAAAACAATACAAGATAAAAGCATGAAAACATTGAAAAGACTAAAATACATGTTTAAGGTAAATATAAAATTAGTAAAATAGAATAAAATAAAAGGGATAAAATAAAGTCAAATAAGATCGGGAAAGGCTCTCCTATAAAAGTATGTTTTAAGAAGGGACTTAAAAGAGTTCACTGACTCAGCCGACCTGATTTCCTCGGGCAGGCTGTTCCAGAGCCTCGGGGCCCTGACAGCAAACGCTCTGTGCCCTTTAGTTTTCAGTCGAGACTCTGGAACAGACAACAGACCTCTGCCCGAGGATCTCAAGGTACGTGCTGGTGCGTATGGGACTAAAAGTTCAGAAATATAACAAGGCGAGGGGCCATGAAGAGCTTTAAAAGTGATCAATAGAATTTTAAAGTCAGTTCTAAAACATACTGGGAGCCAGTGTAATGAAGCTAAAATAGGAGTAATGTGGTCATATTTCTTTGTTCTGGTTAAAAGCCTGGCAGCTGAGCTCTGGACAGTCTGGAGTCGATCAATAGATTTTTGGGTTAAACAGGTGAAAAGGCTGTTGCAATAATCCAGGCGTGATGAGATGAAGGCGTGTAAAATGGTCTCGGTGTCCTTAAAAGTTAACATGGATCGAAGATTTCGAAGTTGATAAAAACATGATTGAACAAGCTTTGTGATGTGCTGCTCGAAATTTAAATTACTATCAAACCAAACACCAAGGTTCTTTGCAACAGACTTAATGTGATTTACTAGGGAACCAGCAGATGGCAGTATTTGTTTTGCCATCTGCTGGGACCCAATGACCAGGATTTCTGTTTTGTCTGAGTTCAGCTGGAGGAAATTATTTGACGTCCATTTTTTAACTTCACAAAGGCAGTTGTTAAGTGAACTCAGCATTCCAGGGTCTGTGGATCTGACGGGCAAGTATATTTGTGTGTCATCAGCATAAATATGAAAAGAAATGCCATGTTTATGGATAATATGTCCAAGGGGAAGCAGATACAAGGAAAACAAAATGGGTCCTAAGACGGACCTCTGAGGCACACCATATTTAACTGGACAGAACGAAGAGACATAGTTGTTTACAGACACGCAAAACTTCCTATTTGACAGGTAGGATGAAAACCATTCTAGGGCAGTACCAGAGATCCCCACCCAGTGCCCCAGTCTGTCTAACATGATGTTGTGATCAATGGTGTCAAAAGCAGCGCTAAGGTACAGGAGTAGCAGGACTCAGCACATACCTTCGTCAGCAGACAAATCAATCAATCAATCAATCAATCAGTCTCATATCTAAAGGGTAAATTCTCTTGGCAGGGACTTAGAAATAGGCAACACACAATTCCTTGGTTACAGTGAATTTATTAACTAAGGTGGTTAAAAAGGTGGTTAAATACATCAGAGAAACAAACAATGGCTAAACAATGAGAATGGAGGTTCGATTGTGGGAAGCATTTCAATCATATGGCAACTAATGAATGCAATAAGATGATAACTCGGTTAAATTTGTCTAGGGGTTTAAAGATTAAATATGCTGGACTAAAGATAATGGATTAGCAACTATTAGACGTCACTGACCACAGAATGTAGGGTTTTGGTCTTACTGCTTGCGTTTCTCCCCGCCGGGTTGCTGGTCAACGGCCTCACACTGGCAGAGTCCGTGCGTTCTCAGTTAGGACAACTTAAAGCTGTTGGCCAGTCGCTTTCTCTGCCAGGGAATTTCTCCGGGGTCCGTTTCTGGTAGGCTTATGGAAGAAACTTGCAGTGGGGGGCCTTCCCAACCCTGTCTCGGGTCAGGTTTAAGTCGTCCTTTGTTGCTGCTGGCGGGCCACGTGGCATCGTCCGACCTCCGTGGGCTTAGCTCGACGTATAAAGCTTAAAAAGAACTGGGTCATTCTTGAATTAACTAGTGTAACTTAACGGACTAATAACTTTTAACAAACGAAAAGAAAGAAAATAAAAACAAGTAAAGTTGCTGTTAAATGAGGGAAAAATCGATGTCGCGGCACAAAGACTTCGTTGTGCTGGTCAAATTCTTAGGCGTTGCCGGGAGGGGCACGTGTCGAGAGCGGACAACGTCGTGTGTCGCTCTTTTGTTGTCTGGGGCGTGGTTCCCCAGAGGGCAGTCCTTCTAAACTTTTAATGTCTATAAAAGAAAAAAGAAAATCTATTTGCGCGTATTATAGTCAAATATTTTCCACAGTCAAACCTCACTGGTCAAACAGTTGTACCGTTCTAAGTTTAAGCATTTGGTAACAGGAAAACACTTGTCAAATTATTGGTCATGATAAATGAGTGACATTTATACATTAACGGCATTTCCGACGATGGTATGTAATACTTATTTCGTCCACTTGGGGGAGCTCAGGTTACATGAGGAAAGCTTAGATTAATCCAAAAACAATCTTTCCTTAGGAACTGGGAAATTTAGTTATTTGGCCTTCAATTCAAGCTGGCAACTAACAGCGTATAGTATGACATTTATCATCATTTCTAAAGGAATTGTGTGAGAAAGTATTGGTTACCCATAAAATGAAAGTGTCCTTAATCTTGCTGAAAATTAAAACACTTTTCAATAACTTATTTAGATTCTTTTCAGCAATAATATCAACAACAGATAGCAACAACATATATTAGGTTAGGTTAGTTTCTTTGTCATTTTAACAATTCAGGCACCGAGAGACTTATCTCGGCTGTTGCAAAAGGTGGCCAGTTTTACGATCAACTGCTCATGAATAGCACTTAGGGAAAGCTGATCTCAACCCCCCTCCTTCTCTCAGGGAGAGGGGAATAGTTTTGAGTAGTTCAAATTTATTTAATATAAAATGCACAAATCCACACTGTTGTCCACTACAATATACACTGCTCAAAAAAATAAAGGGAACACTAAAAACACATCCTAGATCTGAATGAATGAAATTATTTCATTAAATACTCCTTTCTTTACATAGTTGAATGTGCTGACAACAAAATCACACAAAAATTATCAATGGAAATCAAATTTATCAACCCATGGAGGTCTGGATTTGGAGTCACACTCAAAATCAAAGTGGAAAACCACACTACAGGCCGATCCAACTTTGATGTAATGTCCTTAAAACAAGTCAAAATGACCACGTGTCTGTATGACCTCCCTACAATGCCTGGGCATGCTCCTGATGAGGTGGCGGATGGTCTCCTTAGGGATCTCCTCCCAGACCTGGACTAAAGCATTCGCCAACTCCTGGACAGTCTGTGGTGCAACGTGGCGTTGGTGGATGGAGAGAGACACGATGTCCCAGATGTGCTCAATTGGTGTCAGGTCTGGGGAACGGGCGGGCCAGTCCATAGCATCAATGCCTTCCTCTTGCAGGAACTGCTGACACACTCCAGCCACATGAGGTCTAGCATTGTCTTGCATTAGGAGCAACCAAGGGCCAACCACACCGGCATATGGTCTCACAAGGGGTCTGAGGATCTCATCTTGGTACCTAATGGCATTCAGGCTACCTCTGGCGAGCACATGGAGGGCTGTGCGGCCACCCAAAGAAATGCCACCCCACACCATTACTGACCCACCGCCAAACCGGTCATGCTGGAGGATGTTGCAGGCAGCAGAACGTTCTCCACAGCGTCTCCACACTCACATGTCACATGTGCTCAGTGTGAATCTGCTTTCATCTGTGAAGAGCACAGGGCGCCAGTGGCGAATTTGCCAATCTTGGTGTTCTCTGGCAAATGCCAAACGTGTTGGGCTGTAAGCACAACCCCCACCTGTGGATGTCGGGCCTTCATACCACCCTCATGGAGTCTGTTTCTGACCGTTTGAGCAGACACATGCACATTTGTGGCCTGCTGGAGGTCATTTTGCAGGGCTCTGGCAGTGCTCCTCCTGCTCCTCCTTGCACAAAGGCAGAGGTAGCGGTCCTGCTGCTAGGTTGTTGCCCTCCTACAGCCTCCTCCACGTGTCCTGATGTATTGGCCTGTCTCCTGGTAGCGCCGCCATGCTCTGAACACTACGCTGATAGACACAGCAAACCTTGCCACAGCTCGTATTGATGTGCCATCCTGGATGAGCTGCACTACCTGAGCCACTTGTGTAGGTTGTAGACTCAGTCTCATGCTACCACTAGAGTGAAAGCACCACCAGCATTCAAAAGTGACCAAAACATCAGCCAGGAAGCATAGGAACTGAGAAGTGGTCTGTGGTCACAACCTGCAGAACCACTCCTTTATTGGGGGTGTCTTGCTAATTGCCTTTAATTTCCACCTGTTGTCTATTCCATTTGCACAACAGCATGTGAAACTGATTGTCCATCAGTGTTGCTTCCTAAGTGGACAGTTTGATTTCACAGGTGTGTGATTGACTTAGTTACATTGTGTTGTTTAAGTGTTCCCTTTATTTTTTTTGAACAGCATATTTCAGCACAGCACATCTTTTCAGATGATGTTGCACCGGAGTTTGAGCCAGGTCCAGCTTTTTTGCTGAATACTGCGTTGTTTGGTCAGAGCCCACTGCGTTGGAACCCTCTTCATCTGTGGTTTTCATGCTGAGCCAAAGTCGATCTGAACTCTTCTGCCAAATTGTCATGCATCTGTGTCAGGATAGCCATAGAGAGTTGGATCCTGATTGCCAGTCAGTCATTCTGTTAGTATAATGCAGTGGTTCTCTAGTGGGAGTCCTGCAAAAGTGGATTTCATTTTAATCACAAAACAGGCAATTGAAATAAAAGATTAACATTAGCCAAAAGAAAATGCATCGCTTATGCCACCAAATCACATTCTCTATATCAAGTCCACCCTTGCAGTGGCACTATGCCACCTCAGTTTGAGAACCACTGATAATTGAAATCATGTGAGGTATAATAACTTGAGATGATCGTGTATAGAGAAAGTTATCCTTATTTCACAAAACTACAACATGCTGTAATGTTTGTAGTTTATTTTGTCAAGTCTGTGATGTTTCCACTATAACCAGATCAGATTACATTGAGGAAAAAAAAAATTAGGGAATGCATCTGACCCAGACAGCAGCAGATGCTCAATCCAGAGCAACACCACCTAGGGAATTGCACCCCAGGAAACACTTATTTAACCCCTGATTAAGTTAAAAAAAAAGGCACACAGGAACATTACAGATGAGGCAGAGACACAATTCAAAATAGTATTTTTAATAAGCAAAAATTGGGGACTGGAGTTGCTGAAAGGGAAAAAATGAACCAGCAATAAAATTATAAAGTGGTAGATAAGACAACTACAGTTATTTAAATATGACTTTAATATAAGTTCAAATAAAGGAATACAAATCCAGCAACCCAAAATAACTTCAACCAAAACTAAGCCGAGGTCACTTGGAAAGGCAGACTACACTGAGTCCCCAGGAGTGTTACCACTGCCCACCTTAAGTGCAGCACTACAAACCTCACAGTATTATTCACAGCCGTAGTAGTCTATATAGTGCCCCCGTGCAAGTACTCACATGCATAAAAGTGAATGGTGCCACAGGTGCCTAGCATCCCAATAGGAGGGCACCCTGCTCAATATAAACTGAATACAAAAGAAACCATAAAGTAACAAACCAACCAAGTAACCCAGTTGGCTGAAGGGGAAAACTATACCAACTATTAAACTAGAGCAAAATTAACAAGCTAAAGGGTAAAACAGTAAACTAAATGAGGCAAAACAGCGGTGGTTTAAAATAAGGAGGGACCTGGAAGAGGGAGGGAAACAGTTAGCCAGGCTCAACCTTGCTGCATTAAAATACATTTAAAACCATGTATCAACTCACCGCCTCTGAGATGGGTCATAAAGACACATCAGTGGTCACAGGGCAGGAGAAAGAGGTTCCTAACAGTGTCAAAGTGCAGGTAAGCAACACAAACTTAAGAAAAAAATAGATATCATGGAACTACACCAACACCAACCACAACAGAGACAGGGGAAGGGAACACCGGTTTCTTATATAGCCTAAGCCTAATAAGGAGGTTGGCCAGGGGAGGAGTTAAGTCAAGGCTGCATTCAACACCACCACACCTTGACCTGCACTTGGGAAATCTTTCCCCACCACACATACTCTGTAAATGTCAGATGCCACAATTGCCACAGTGTAGTAGGAGCTCATTCAACAAAAAGTTTTCTACACACACGGCCACAACTTTCTGTCCTCTCTCTGATGTTAAAAACAGGTCACACAATGTTCATTCTTTATTACTGCTGTTTTGTGTTTACAGAAAAATGTTATTATTTTAAATGGTTGTGCCTTTGCAGGCGGAAAAAAAGAAAACTTTCCTTTTTGAATCATCCTCAGATTAGCGTGCACCGGGATCAGGGATAGGCCATGAAGTTTGAAAAAACATAACACGTATTAAATCATCTACCATTTGAGTCAAAAACAGATATTTGTGCTTTCTGGGTCAGCCCAATATGAAAAACCAAAAACAAGCATGAAAACAATAATGAAAAGAATGTGACAATCTATCGTGTAGTCAAAACACAAATACTGCAGTTCCACATTAGACTCGGTGATGGTATGATCTATTGTCATGTGGCTTTTCTGAGCGCATGCTGATGTCTACTACTGGGTATTACAAGTTAAGGATAATAAATTCCCATAAATATTTTTAAAGATGAGGAGATGAAAATGGCTTGCAGCATGAATAGAAAACATTGCAGAGGGTTCCCCCATTCTTGACTGGAAGCAATAAGAAAATTCAACAGATGTGTCAAAAAGATTTATGCAAGTCAGCTTTGAATTCCCCGAAGTTCATATTGTTTTATTCAGTTTGGACCTAGTTCCTTGAACACCCTGTTGTGTATGCAATCGCACTACATTTTCCTGCCTTTTCTGTTTACAAACTTGTTGCAGCTGATTGGGTAACAACTGTGACACGCCCACCAAACAGAAGAAAACATACCTTGAATACCTTGTTGTGGAACATTACACAACGTTGCAAGGAAACATGTCATTCAATCTGAAAATGTTACAAACCATTGCAAAATATTTTGAGACTGAACTCGTCCCAGCCTTCATGCCTTATTGGATATCAGTTACTGATTGGACGCTCCAGTTGATCTAATTCATCACAACACTACTGCAGTTTTATACCGGAGTATAGACAGATAACAGACTGATTGTCTGATTCACCATCTGTTCATTATAGGTCTGAACAACAAAAGGACCACAGACTACTGTCTTCATTTTATTACAAAGATTTCTCTTTTCAAAATCTGTTATTTCCCACATTAACTTTTATTATGAATACAATTAAAGTCAGAGAGAGTCAGAGGGTCTGTCTGTCAGCAAGAAACACATAATTTATCTTCATTTCCATTCAGTTACTGAGGCAGATAATTCCTGAGGGTAGCCTTTGATATGAGTTTTTAGCCCAATAAATAATTGTCAATGTTTAAAAGACACCATGATCATATTCAGGGTTTTTCAATGATGAATTCACAATCAGAATATCAATAAATACAGATGCAGATAATGAATAAATAAACGAAACACATTCTGAGAGTAGAAGTGATCCTTTGCCTCTGTGCAGGACACAGTATACAGAATGCAGGCTGTTCATCTACAAGTGTTTGTTAAACAGGTAACTGCTTCATAGAGAAAACACGCTGCTCTGGCAGTGATAACTGTGAGCCTTTATTAGTATTAGCACAGTGCACATGTGTGCAGACACGCAGACGTCGCTTCACATGACGCGTTGCTTCTAAAAACATTCGCTTCACAAAACACCTCTTTATGCATCCCCAGTGGCAGGGCTTAAGACGCAATTGAGTTAAACGTGGATACAATTAAGAGACTTCAGAAGCACTCCATTTTTGGGTAGGAATTACTCATGCAGCTCAGTCAATGCAGTTGTCAGTGACACACACAAAATTATTTTACTGTACAGTACATAAAGTCAACTTACAAATTTTCACACACACCATCCTATCAACAGCTGTAAGACAGTAAGTTGGGAATGGAAATGATCAAAGGGTTCATTGGTCAGGTATAGTATTCTCATTCTGGGTAATAATTTACTAAGGCCAGGGCCTTACTTGTTTCACCTGGTAGGGTCTTCCAAAGCAAATTAGTTCCAGGGGAGGGGCCAGACTGTGAAGTTTTGCTGGATCCTATATAAATTGGCCAAAAAGGAGCTGCAGCACCTGGAAAAGGGAAACTGGGGAACCAGTAGCGTAAGGTAGTAACAATGGGCCCCAGTGCTGGCTGTTATGTTGGGCCCTTGGGCTACATAGTTACGAAGCACACGCGCACACACTGCGTGTGGGTCTAGAAGGGAACCCTATATTGGCAAATTTGTGCGCCTTGTTTCCTCGTTTTGCACGGTTTAACAACTGATTAGATTAGATGCAGCAAATACCTAATTTAAAGCTCCTTAAATCCATTTCTTTCCATATTAAGATAGTAAATTCTGTTGTCTTTGTGTGCGTCTCTCTCCAACACACACACTGCTGCTGCGGCAGTGTTGCGTGCGCCTGGATGCAGCAACCTAAAGTACCATCATGTGATGGATTTTAGACTTTTGTATTTGCAAAGTAGGCTACAGAAGTTAAAGAAGAAGTAAAATCCTGAAACGTCACTACAAACAGCTGAGTGCAGGGGAGGTGTCCACTGTGCTGAAATGATGCAGACTTTTACGGACAAGTTCAGTCCAATAACCTCCCGATCACAGCAACCACATTCCTCTTCAACAGAGAGACAAGACATTATGGTGACTAAGAAAGAAAAGTGGGCTACCCATAAGCAACACCATGTCCTGAAAACAGGCCAGCTAAACGCACACACAGTTTAATACCCACAAGCACATCCAAAAAAACAGCCTTTTAAACGGCCACGGCAGCCGCACCAAATCCACTGAAAAAGCACTTATAAGGTTACTCTATTTGAAAGGCATGCGACGAGCCTGCATTGAACGAAATCTTTGACAGTGTCCTCAGCAAAAAATCCAAAACAATCTTATTTGGGAGCTTTTCTCTCCTGTCTCTTCTTAAAACTACTTTTATGTTTGAATGGCATGACTGCTAGCTTGCACTTGTGGTCTGCTAGTCTACTAGTCAGACTTTGTGTTTCACCCGGTTTCTGGAGTTTTTCTGCATCATTTTTAGACAGGATGTTCCTGATTTTTGCAATATTATGTAGGTGAAAAAAGGCGGTCCTTGAAATTTCTTAATGTGAAACTTAAAAAACATGTCCTGATCAAAGATAACTCCAACATTCCAGTACAGTGGTGCTGGAGGCCAGGGCGATGCCATCAAGGGAAACTATATCTTTAGATAATGCTTCACGGAGGTGCTTAGGCCCCAGAACAATAACTTTATCTGAGTTTACCATTAGAAAATTACAGGTCATCCAGGTTTTAACATCCTGAAGGCACATTTAAAGTTTAGCTAACTGATGAGTTTCATCTGGCTTGATCGATAAATATATCTGAGTATCATCTGCATAACAATGAAAGTTTATGGAGTTAATAATATTGCCTATAGGAAGCATATATAAAGTGAAGAGGATTGGTCCGAGCACTGATCCTTGTGGAACTCCATGACTAACTTTGGCAAGCATGGAGGACTCATCGTTAACATGTACAAACTGAAATCGATCAGATAAATAGGACTTAAACCAGCTTTAATGCCAATGAAATGTTCCAGTCTCTGTAATAGGATCTGATAGTCAATGGTATCAAAAGCAGCAATAAGATCTAATAAAACCAGTACAGAGACAAGTCCTTTGTCTGATGCAATTAGGATGTCTGTGCTATGATGAACTCTAAATCCTGACTGAAAATCCTCAAATAAACTATTGCTATGTAGAAAGTCACACAGCTGTTTGGCGACTGCTTTCTCAAGGATCTTAGAAAGAAATGGAAGGTTAGATAGATAGTCTATAGTTAGTCTATAGTTTGCTAAAACATTCCTATAAGTTTTAAGAATATCTTGCCAAATTAAACGAGAATTTTCCAGTTTGTTGGAACGCCAGTTCCTCTTAAGTTTCCGCGATATTTGCTTTAATTTGCGAGTTTCAGTATTATACCATGGAGCTAATGTCTTTGTTTTATTATTTTCTTTTTTTGAGGGGCAACAGAGTAGAGTGTCATTTGCAGCGGGCCTGCAGCACTATCAGCAAGATGATCGATTCGGGAGGGACTGAAATTAGCATAGGAGTCCTCCGTTACTTTGTGACTTGATAATGAATTTAGAGCTGATGGAATCGCATCCTTAAATTTAGCTACAGCACTATCAGACAGACATCTTGTATAAAATTTTTTGCCCAGTGCCGTGTAGTTCAGTAATGCCTGGATGACCTGTAATTTTCTAACGTTAAACTCAGTTAAAACTGAAGTTATTGCTCTGGGGCCTAAGCACCTCCGTGACACATTATCTAAAGATATAGTTTCCCTGGATGGCATCGCCCTGGCCTCCAGCACCACTGTGAGAAATCTTGGAGTTATCTTTGATCAGGACATGTCGTTTAAGTCTCACATTAAGCAAATTTCAAGGACCGCCTTTTTCCACCTACGTAATATTGCGAAAATCAGGAACATCCTGTCTAAAAATGATGCAGAAAAACTAGTCCATGCATTTGTTACTTCTAGGCTGGATTACTGCAATTTCTTATTATCAGGCTGCTCGAAAAAGTCCGTTAAGACTCTTCAGCTGATCCAGAATGCTGCAGCACGTGTTCTGACAGGAACCAGGAAAAGAGATCACATTTCTCCTGTTTTAGCTTCTTTGCATTGGCTTCCAGTAAAATCCAGAATAGAATTTAAAATCATTCTTCTTACCTACAAAGCTCTTAATGGTCAGGCACCATCTTATCTTAAAGAGCTCATAGTACCTTACTACCCCCACCAGAGCACTGCGCTCCCAGAATGCAGGGTTACTTCCAGTCT